TTTATATAGCCATTATATGCTTATGAGATAGACGTCTTTAATATTTATTTGCAATAACTGATACAAGTTTACAAAATGATAGGTTTAGAGTATGGAAAACACAGAAAACGTAAAGAAGACGTCAAAATATGGTTATTTTCCCAACTTGTCCCTTTCCCGATGGTGTAAAATCCGGGGAGGGGGTGCACTTTCATTTATATAAATACATGTATGATAATATTTAGTATGTGCTTAGATGCAGCGGAATAAAAATAGTTCGTTAACAAAGACTGTATTAATAATAGACATATTCAAAATATTCATCAAACATCATACATCTGACACAGGCTTTATTAAGATATTTGGACTTTTTTCGAATTGCTGGCAAGTTTTTTTTTTTATAGAAACTATATATTTCTTTACTCCTTGATATCAATATGACGGCATTTAGCAAGCAAGCTAGTCAGAGAATTCAGTTACAGACGTCATTGGTGTTGATGTGTTCCACTTTCACTTCAAATGCTGGACATCGCTGGTCATTTAAACGTCACAAAACAATATATACCTTACTGGTAGATAGATTTTTTTTTAACAGAACGTTTCTTTATTATGGGGTTTTGTGGTTTTCACACATACCGCATTATGATTCTTTGACAAGTTGAATCTCATTGCTAACTTTAGTGGTCGATAGAATTGGTCGCTAGCTTGATTGGTCGCTGGAATTGGTCGCCAGCTTGAGTCTGGTGGATAATATGAACAAATTACATGCAGACTAAGGCGGCCAAAAACAATTCTAGAAGTACTGTCATAACTTGCCTGACTATCTCATTGGTTAAACCTGAAACATTACAAGCATTGAGGCTACGGCAAAGTTTTTTGTTTTGGGAATTTGATTTTATATGGCTTATAATAGTATTATACTTTTGATTACATCGATTCTTTCAGTATATGTCACGTATGTCAAATTAGTTGAAACATTTTTAATAAATAATGTCATCTCAAACTTAGTGTCGTGAGGCGGATGAACAATATCCTGGTTATGGATTAAAACATACATTATTACCAACTTAAAAAGTAATACCCCGGACAAACAACACGACCGCAGTGCTTCACAGCGTTATCTAGGCTGATATGCATAAAACCACTTAAGTTGTGATATCCAATCGTAGTACTAATTTATCGTAAGACATGTAGAAAAATCCGTCCATTCGGAACAAATCTTAACTGAAGTAGTTTTATGCATGTCAGCCCTGATTTATAATTTTTATAGTTAATAGTTTGCTTAAATTGATACTGAATTTTTAAAATCTTAACTTAAAAGGTTAAGTGAATATCTATTTCAATGTTGTGATAATACAGAATTAATAAAGATTGGAAAAAATAATTGATACTAGTAGAAATAACATATATTTGTTAAGGTAGAAGATTTTACATGCAACAGATTCTCTTTGTTTCCTCGTTGTGTTATTACAAGGGTTACTTTAGCGTGGAGAGGGATAGTCCTATAATATATCACTTTGTATTGTCCGTTCGCATCTCCTATTTTAATTTGATTGTTTGATTGATTGGTGTTTACCACCACTTTCCGCACTATTGGCTTTATGGTAGTGGTCAGTATTTATTTATGGAGAAAGCCGGACCGCCTGCAGAGAACCATCTAACTTGGGTAGGAAAACTGGCAATCATAGTTAATTAATATTGGAGTCGAACCTGCGACGTGCAGGAGTCGAATTCACATCCTCAGTGTTGACAGGATAGGGATACAGTAGTTCGACTACTTAGATCGAGGCCCCCTTTTAGTTTGATATTTTTTTCAAATTGTTTGTGGTTCAGTCATCGATTTAAAAAAACAAAATGCAGGATGTCGAAGAGACGAAATTAACTCGATATCTTAGTAGAAATGTTTTAATAATAGGTTAAGCGAGGAGTGTGCAACTCTCGTATCTCGGCGCAACAGAATAAAAGCCCTTATTTCGACAATACTTGGATTTATATATAATTTTTTTTCAACCTTATTTAACTAAAACACTGAAACGCCGTATTAACAGCAAATAAAATGTTTCATAAACAGAAATTACAATGGGCAACAAAACGGAAGTTATGAAAAGCTTGTCATCACATTATAGATGCCTATGAAGAGTGCACAAAGCCACAATTTTAACAGAAAAATGTATTGGAGGGCCATCGTTAACCAAAATCAAAATTATGTTGGTAGTTTTAATTCATTTTGGTTAGCGTTGACCGTAGATGCAAAAATGTAAATAAAAAAAAAACGTGTAAAGTTTGCAATTTGTATCAAAATTTTTCAACAGCAACATTTACCGCTGAATAACTTTTATCCCCTTAAAGATAAAAACAAAACAAAAAAAAAAAAAAAAATGGGAGAAACTGTCCCTTCTCCTTTGTCACTTGAATGTCACTCATTTCCAGTCTTGATTCTATGTCTGTTAGACAAAACTTAAACCACACAAGAATTAAAATCAAATATTCTTGAATTTAAATTATACTATCTCTCCGAGCAATTTTTTTTTGTTTTGTGCCGATATTGTCGTCTGTACAATAAACTATGACATTTGCCTTAACGAGTTTAGTGTTTGATTTTGTTTATAAACTTTTCCCGTTACGACTAAATATACTCCATTGATAGGCGAAGTAATAACTTTTACTGAACGTCAAGCGACAAGTATTACATACACATATTGAATGACAACATTGTAATAAAATGTGAATTTAAATATACAACTTGCTTTATTTCAGACCGACACATTCAGTTATCGCAATGAATGTCAATAGGAAGACATGCCACTATGCTCAGACACATTTTTCTAACCCCGAGCCCTTTTTTTCTTCACACATACTCCATAGTTTAACCCACGACCCCCACTAACGAAGCAAGTCCGCTACCACCGCTAGCGAGACGGTTGAATACAAAAGGAATTGGTATACGTCGATGAGAAAGCAACAAAAAAGGAAGAAGACATTTGCACACCCTGTATAAAATGAAAATAACACTTTCGGTGCACTGACTTTTAAGCTGATAATTCCATCGGGTACTAGCAGTTTGCCATATATATAAAATTTCTAAGTATCTTACAGGCGTACTACGGGGTTTAGCAAGTACCGATATAATGTTACAAATCCCAAATCACCCAGAGTTCAGAGAAATTGTAAATAAATTGAACAGAAAATAGTACATGTATCTATTAATATCATACTTTTCCTTAAGAATCAAAACAACTTGCAGAAAGCAACGACAATCAATGATGGAGTTACTCACTTATAAGCCCTCTTAAAAATAAAAAAAAAATAAAAACAACGTTTTCTATCAGGGGCAGATCTAGGATTTTTGAAAGCGGCGTAATTTCCGAAAACTAAATACTAGTATAAATCATTTGGATGATTTTATGATAAATTTTCCAATCTAAAGGGGGGCGGGCGTCCTCTCCCTCCCCCATGAATCAGCCACTGTCTGTGGACAAAATACCAAAAAAAAAACAAATTAAAATAATACCACATTAAGAATTTCCCTATTCGACTTATCATATATATCCTTAATTTTATCTTTAGCGAAAACCGAAACAGTTTCTTTAATTGTTATTCCTGATATATTTGAAACTCAATTGAAATAGTTCAATGAATAATATAATGTTTCTTAGCAGAGACTGCATAGGTCTTTTGGTAGAGGGAACCTTTAATGGAATGCTTGACCAGGGAAATTACTTGTTAAAAGCAATAGCGCAATATCATGTTAATATATAATTTGTGTTGCGTGAAGTTGCCGGTTTTGCATCATTTCTGACTCTGTTGAATGCAGCCGTACAGTAATCACTATTTGAGAATAGAGTGAATGTTCTTCCGGTCACTTTTCATTTTCTGTTTTAATGGATTTTAGCAGTATTATCTACTATTTTGTTAAGGTCGTTTTATGTATTTTTCTACCACAACATTGGTTTAATCAAATGCTTCCTCACATGATTTGTATTGTACTATTTTGTTTAAATGATCCCTTCTCCAGCTATCTACTCGATAAAATTACACGGGGACATGTCTCATATCTAAATCCATAATATTAAAAGGGTGTCTCGCATTTTGGGTAAATTTTCCATTTGAAATATAGTTTTATATCTATAAAATCTACACTGCTCACAAAATGGTTGGACCAAGTTGCGATATGGTCTTGCAGATTTGATGTGGTTGTGATGAAGCCCAATACTAATTTGTTTTAATCTTTTAATTCAAAGCTTTTTAAATATAAAAAAAATCATATAGATTTTTAAAAATTTCTATTCAAATGTCTTGAATACAAAACTGCAAATCTAAATTATTTCTGAAAAAATATGTCCATTTCATAGGGGAGGGTCTAGATAGGTTTACAAAATGGAAAAAAATGGGCAAAATGTGCAAATTAAAGGGCAAAAAAAAGAAGAATAGAGCAAAGTGTACACAAAAAAAAATAACTAATAGAGAATAATGGGGTGCTGAAATATAAAGAATCGAGAATAATGGGGTGCTGAAATATAAAGAATCGAGAATAATGGGGTGCTGAAATATAAAGAAAATGGTGTGAATTTTACCCTCTGTTCCAACTGTCAGAGACGATAAATGGATACTGGGAAAATTCCCCTAAACTGTTGATACTTTATTTTTATATAAATGTTTCAATGATTGTTTTGGCTTAAAATATTACCTTCAAAGAATACATATTAGAAAAAAACAGCATTAGAATATTAGTTGATTGATTTTGCTAGATTAGTATCCATTGGGGAATATATTTCATTCATTTTCTCGACAAGCGTTTAAAATCAATCTGATTAAAATTCCCATATGAGCATAACGAAATCAGATATCTATATTTTAATTAGATTTGTTTAAAATACAACTCCATGCACCAATATCTTAAATTCAAAATGTTGATCATTAAATACAAGTAGTCTAAACGTTACAAAAAAGGTCCTTTTAAGGTCAATCATTTGAATATTATCCCACATATCCTGTTGTCAGCGGCTTAATATATCCGACGAAGAAGGATTTTGAAGTTTAAGACAACCCGATTATGTAATTTCCAAAAGGATACATATTCGAAAATTATAAATATCAGTTTCTATTCTGATGTCCAAATATATTGTCCTGTAACAGCTTTGAGTAAGTGTATTTTATTCATAATATATAATTCCTAAAAAGTATCTTTATTCATATTTTTCATAAGGTATGATAAACAGTTATGCATGCACTTTTGAGCAAATCAGTATAGCATGTACAAAAATCTGTGTGTATATCGTTTGGGATGTTTTTTTGGTCTCGCATGATACAAAGGTGAGGTCGAAATTAGTATCGAACTTTTTGATTGGAGATCATTGACGAAATTCAGATTTAGAACTTAGGTAGGGCCAATTTCCGATAAATTCACAGAATCACAGTTTCATATGTGTGATTAGAAGTTCTGACAACAGTATATGTCAAAATTCTAAACATATTATTGCTTTTGCAAATGCTTATAAATTGACAAAAACTACAATTCTGGTAGACTGTATCTGCAAAATGTTAAGTACATTCGTATTTATGATAAAGTAGTAAAAAAGAATTAATATCCCCCCTAAAAAATCAGGGTTTTCAAGACATGTAATGTCAGTTAGATACACATATATTTATTATTTTCAATTTCATCTCGGGTGTATTTTATTTCAAAAATTTTTTAAACGAAACTTGTATCGTATGGACAGTCAAGTATTTCGGCAAAATAAAAAAGCCTCCGTCAGTGCCGGTACTGTTTTAGTTTGTTGATTAATTGTTTTCTTCGGACTCATGATATAAAAAATATTAAAACATTGAATAAATACTGTATTGTATAGCAAGGTTATCATAACATCATGGATATAAATTTTGTTAATTGATGCCATTTTTTAGAATTAATATTCAAATCTCACTAGAGTTCGACAGATTGAAAAAAAAAATACATAAGAGATTGGCCTGAAATTTTAATCTCAAAACTTTTCGCTGCTGAATTTCAAATTAGCAACATTTTCATTAGAGATTTCTTAAGTAAATGCATAGTACACAGTTAACGGGAAAATTTCAATAAAACGTTCTGTGCTTTAAAACAATATTTCATATGCCTAATGTATGTTAAACTGTAGGAACAAAATAATTGGAATGACTAGAGTTTAGAAATATTTTTTTAGAAGTTTAATCAAATTGCACGTCTACAAATATCTTAAGAAGTAAAGGGGTTAGTACACGTCTTACGATCTCTTATGGTTTGAATAAATGGTTTTTGCTTCATAACAGTAGTTACGAGTCTGGATTCGCATGGCGCGTGAGACATGCATATCAAGGGACGCTTACCCTAACGACGCATCCGGTCTGTTTCCGTTCGGAGTTCCCTCAGTCTTTTTTCTCTTTGCTGGCAGTTTCCAAATGTGATTTACATCTTTTGAATATCCGTAATCTATTTTTGCCTTTTGGTATTATCTTTTTTAAATGGGATACGAAAAGGAACACATTATTAAACTATGTTTATGAAGTCACTCAGTACAGTATTTTATGAATTAAAAGACTTATAACCTTATAAAGACTTCAAATTTCAATTTGAAGCATTTGGAATTTATTTTAAAAAAAGGTATGATATACCATACTTATACAAATCAAATCAATTTTTATATGCCGCAAATGTAAGAGAAATAGACCATTGAAATGAAAAAGGCGGAATATATCTAAACCGTAAGTTACAAAAAATAGACAATACCATAGCAAAAAATTAAATGACAAGTAACGGGATAGTGGCTATTATAAGATCATATCTATTTACATTTTGACGCATGTGTGCAGACATTCCGTAACGGTCAACCAAATGATGATGATGTCCGTAAAACTTTCGACGGGAAGTCTCTTTAACTTTACCATAAGGAACCATTGGTTCAACAGCTAGGTTCTTTGGAAGCAGCATCATTCAATCAAGGAAATCCAGTAGAAATGGGAGATTATCTTGCATTCAATTATTACGTAACAAATCTGGCTTGGGAAATAACCTACTTAAACATTAGAATTCGTACTTAATAATTGTTTGCTGTATTTTTTTTTAAAGTAGAAAGATGTGGAGAGAGATTCTTGTAACAGCCGTTTTTCTACAAGTGTTTTCTGTATGTAAGTACATTAATATTCATATGTCCCCTCAAAGAGTAACCTATATATATGGGTTTAAGAACATCAGTTGTTCGACCTGCTAGTCAAATGCGTTTTGTAAAAATATACTTTTTCACTCATTTGGTCTTTTGGAAAATGTTGTTTGTGCTGTATTTAGACCCTTCTACCAAGAAATTTGTTTTGCATGCACACGTATAAAAATTGCGGTTTTTATCCAACGCAGTCATAGGTTTGAACGTTGTTTTCAATTTAGACTTGTATATATTTTTTCGTTTGGGCTTGTATTATATTTGCCTTCGGGTTTATATGATCCGTTCGTCCTACTTTGACTCTTTCAAAATTCAAGAGTCTATCCTAAATTGAGGTAAATTATATGGCCTTCCAATACCGTTTCGATTCCTAACATCACTGAAGAGACATTAATTGTGTACAAATTTTTGCCCCTCATATTTGCGGTATACCATCTTTTCCGCAAGTTTATTGTTTTCTGTTTGGTAATAAATTAATAATAAGATCTATTTTGTTACATACACGTGAAATAAAGCAAAACACAGTGCTACTCGTGATTATATATATCTAATAGCAAAATCAAGATCAACTAATAGTTTTTAAAAATAACGTGGTGAATATCACAGTGTCTTCATTCCTGTTTATCAATATGTGTGGTTGTCAAATCTTCAAGGCAACAAAAAGTGTCATTTTACTGTCAAAATGCAAACTGCATCAATATTTCGTTAGCAATATTTCGACATTTCAACTTCTTCCAAGCAAACATACACGGAGTCTAAGGTGTCGTTTCTATTATTGTACTGTTTCATTTGGAATGAAATGCACTTGTGCTGATTTTCCTTCTGATTAAATTTCCGTAGGAATAAACATACAAATATGAAAAGGACATACACAAGGTCAGTTTAATTTAAAAACAGAGTTTCCCATAAGGTTTCTACATTAAATACACTATGGGTATTTCCGTATAAAACCTATACAAATGGGATTACACTTTCTGGTTACTAACAGTACAACTCACTGAAACGAATTCAGCTCGACCATCTACTTTGTATTCCCGCTCAACCATCAACTTTGTATTCCCGCTTCTTCATCTACTTTTTTATTCCCGCTCCTACATCTACTTTGTATTCTCACTCCTAAATCTACGTTTTTATTCCCGCTCCAACATCTTCTTTTTTATTCCCGCTCATCCATCTACTTTATATTCCCGCTCCACCATCTACTTTTTTATTTCCGCTCCTCCATCTACTCTATATTCCCGTTCCACCATATACTTTTTTTATTCCCGCTCATCCATCCACTTTGTATTCTCACTCCTACATCTACGTTTTTATTCCCGCTCCTACATCTTCTTTTTTATTCCCGCTCCTCCATCTACTTTGTATTCCCGCTCATCCATCTACTTTTCTATTCCCGCTCATCCATCTATTTTATATTCCCGCTCCTCCATCTACTTTGTATTTTCGCTCCTACGTCTACATTTTTATTCCCGCTCCTCCAACTTCTTTGTATTCCCGCTCCTACATTTACTTTGTATTCCCGCTCATCCATCTACTTTTCTATTCCCGCTCATCCATCTATTTTATATTCCCGCTCCTCCATCTACTTTGTATTTTCGCTCCTACGTCTACATTTTTATTCCCGCTCCTCCAACTTCTTTGTATTCCCGCTCCTACATTTACTTTGTATTCCCGCTCCTTCATCTACTACGTATTCCCGCTCCACTATCTATTTTGAATTCCCGCTCCTACATCTACAATTTCAATTCCAACTCCTACATCTACTTTGTGTTTCCGTCCACCATCTACTTTGTATTTCCGCTCCTACATCTACTTTGTATTCCCGCTCCACCATCTTCTTTTTTATTCGCGCTCCTTTAGATCTGGCTTAAAGTTTCGATTGACTTAGAAATGCACCGACCATTCATCTCTTTTGTTGAGGATCGATCATGGTTGTTTTTTAGATAAATTGTTTGATTATTATTTTTTTTAAGAACAAAATAATTATGACATGGAGTTTCAAAACAAATTCTCGTTCCTGTGTGTTATTGAAAAAATACTTTTTTTTTTTTTTTTTTTTTTTATTAAAATCAAAACAAATTGTTTGTCCAAAGAAAAAACTCCCATGCCCCCACCCTCCTCCCACGAAAGGTGAATGATCGGTGTCTGATTGTTCTCCAGGTAAATTCATGGTTTTAAGGAACCTTAAGTATAACACAAGTATGTTCTAATGTAGCACTCCCCATTTATTAAAATTATAATTACTTAATGGTAAAATTTATTTTCAGATGCAATTTCAGTGAAGGTAAAGAATGGAAAAGTGGCATATTTCAGATGTAGTGATGGAAAGGTTGTTGATGTAACGGAAGCAATATATGAAAAAGGCTCTTGTGGTGATCCTAATGCACTAACAGCCGTGCAGGAACTAGCAAACGGAAAAACACGTTACGATCTGCCAGTTGCAAAATCAGTTTTTTCGAGCACATGTGCAGCTAACGTAGATGAAAAACTGAAAGTCCAGTATGACTGTGTTAGTCGTAAGTGTGTTCTTTAAGAAACGGACTATAGTCCGAGAAATGCGCGTACGTGTCAATACAGTTTAGCATATCAAGTTATTCTCCATTCCATATGTTTCTAATAATAACAACTTCCGATACGATTTGGTTAGTATTTTTCAAGGTTCATGTTTGGAGAATATCATGCTCTGTTCAGGTGATGAATTCGGTCAATATCCTTTTGGACCCCTTGTGAATAGAGATGACCAAACTTGTGACATAATTTCTATTTGTCTTATAGTAATAAGTGTATCGAACGTATGATGAATTTGTAATTAGCAATGGCAGATGATGATTCCAATAGATTGTCTCCTAATTACGCGAAAGAATCTCAATTTAATTTGACTAATGCATTTTATGTATGTGACATAGGACAGATATGTAAATAAAGTATTAGTTATGTCACAAGTATTAGTTTTTATTCGGAGTCTTGGCGGCTATGGGGACATGCAACATTAACAGGGAATATGAGACCATTTGCCATTTGATCTTTGTTTTTTGTTCACAGGGTATAGTGGCTCATATCCCTGTCAAGGTAACCAATCAAATTGTAGGATAAGCCGGGATACATATATCTATTAAAGCATAATTTCTAAACTTTTCCTATTTGAGTTTGTCGTCTGTAAAAATCAAAATAATGATCGAGCCCCTTGTTCGAATCTGTTCACTCTTTGTGTCCGACGGAATTGGCAAATAAACTTTTGAAGATGTAATTTCTTGCTCATATCTTCTATAGTCTATTTGTCAATTTCGTAAATAACCCATAGAAATATATTTGTATGAGTTCTTGCCCTTAAGATGGACATACCATTTCATTGACAATGATTATAATATAATATAATTGGCGGAAAGAGCAAATTTATCTGTGTGTAATGTGAGTAATGCTAATCGGGTTTTCAGATCTTTTAATGACATATATTTTTTTCTTGAACTAAAATCTTTTGATGAAAACCAATGTCTTCCCATGCTTTTTATATGAAAAATCCATGGATTTCAATTATATCTCGAAAAGAATCACAAATTACCAATCTTATACATAGTCCTTAAAAGTCCTATTTTTTATTCGTTTTGCATTTCGTTTCAGCTACTGCAAGTTCTGCAACACCAAATGGAGATACGGCAGAGATATTATGTAATGCCGGGCAATACATAACAATAACAAAGGCCACTTATGCTGATATCAGCAATGCTTGTTTTGACGCAAATGCATTTAGTATTGTCCAGGCTAGTTGTAACAATCAGGTTACTTGTTCGATAGATGTAGACTCGGCTACGTTTCCAAGTTCCACTTGTAACCCTGTTGGCAGTGAAAGTTTAACAACTTCTTACACCTGTACACAAGGTAATACATAGTCGTTTCAAAGTAGCTCTACAATTAAAACAGAAATAGATGAGAGAGAAAACACTTCTAAAAATATGCACACGGTCAACGCTTTTACAACCCTATAAAATTACTAAAAGAAGCATTGAATACTTATAATTACATTTTTTTGCTAGGATCATGAAAACACGATTTCTATCAAGTTTTTCTTTTATTTACCTGTGCACTTTATTGTGGAAGCTCGTGTCAACATGAATGTTACATTTCATTTTGAAATGAAGGTTAATTTCAGAATGACGCGAGATTGCTGTTAGCCAATCAAAATAACGTATTATAATGAAACATACATGTAATGAAATTATAAGTGTATAAAGGCCAAACCAAGTTCTTTTGTTTTGAATCGTTCATTGCTTTAGATTCAGTGTTCATTCCGACAACATAAGTGAACGAACAACGTATAAACTTAAAATTGGTCATTTTAGTTTTAGTTAGAGGATTTCTATTTAGAAATATGATACTATTGTTAAATTATTGGGAAAATATAAAAAAATTACTAAAAAAGATGTAAATTTAAATTGCTATTTTTTTATTGCAATCATTTTTTTTATTTATCTTAAATCTGCATGCATTAGATGAACAATTAAAGATAAAAAATGAGACATTGACTTTGTATCTTTCTTTGCTTCTCTCTTTCCCTCTCTCTATATATTAAAAGAAATTGTCACTATTTCTAAATTTAGTTATACATTGTTACGTCAACAATAGAAAGTTATGAATATATCTATAATTATAATTAATTCCGTGTTTTATATAGATTTAATCTTTTTTTAATTATTATTTTTCGTACGGTGACCTACAGATGTGAACATCCTTGTCCATATAACATTTCGGTCACTAGTGGAAAGGAGTAAGTTCCGTAAGGGTCATATTTGGTCCTGAAATATTATGTCCATTGTTTCACGATAAAAAAATGATCCAAGTTGATGCTGAAAATACACGAAAGAAAGTGAAATAGAACTATTTTTGTACAGCTTTTCTTGTAAAGCTTTAAAGATTTGCAACCCAAATAGGCCATAAGTATAGATTTTGGTTGAAATTTGACAAAATTGGCTGGATTTCAACCAAATTTATGCCTAGGAAACATAGAGAGCAGGCTTCGACAAACTATATATTTAAGCAAGATATGTTAAATTTTATAACAAGCATTTTGTTAAAAGAGCTATTTTGGCGACGCATGCGCTCCATATTTCCAGTCCAAAAAATCAATTGAAATTTACCTATTTTCATGGAAAATCAACATGATAGCTATTTTCGACTTCTTGAAAAGGATGCTAATAAATACACTTATAACAAATAGACATATTTCATATGTAGTAATTGTATTAGCTTTGATACTATAGTGTTATCAAATGGGTGCTTTCATATTAATACTGTATTATGTTCAAGTACAGTCGTATTGGGTTGAGGATAGCTGTATTGGCAAGAGGCGTAGAACTAGAAATAGGGGCCATTTAAAGGCCTCATCGAAACTACTCCTTTAAAATTTGTCTCATTGGCAATCATACCGCATCTCCTTATCTATTACTTACAATAAAATTAAACATACCTATACAATGCTAAAATTGAGAATGGAAATGGGGAATATGTCAAAGAGACAACAACCCGACCAAAGAGCAGACAACAGCCGAAGGCCACCAATGGGTCTTCAATTCAGCGAGAAAATCCCGCACCCGGAGGTGGTCCTCAGCTGGACCCTAAATAAAATTGTGTGCTAGTTCAGTGAAAATGGACGTCACACTAAACTCCAAAACATATAAATGAACTAAAATTAAAAAACATACTAGACTAACAAAGGCCAGAGGCTCCTGACTTGGGACAGGCGCAAAAATGCGGCGGGGTTAAACATGTTTTGTGAGATCTCAACCCTCCCCCTATACCTCTAGCCAATGTAGAATAAAGAAACACATAGCAATACACACAGTAAAACTCAGTTTAAAAGAAGACCGAGTCCGATGTCAGAATAGGTAACAAAAGAAACTAAGCAAAATGACAATGATACATAAATGAACAAAGGACTACTAGCAGTTACTGACATGCCAACTCCAGACCTCAATTAAACTGATTGAAAGATTAATGCTACCCTCTTTGTGTCTGTTATCTAGAAGATGGTGTCCCCTTTTAGCACTGATTGTTTATAGATTGATAAATTATATACACACATTTTGTTTACAGCAACAGGACAAGTGTATACACGATGGGGAAGTACAACGTGTGGATCAACCGCTCAATTATTATACTCAGGTAAAGTATTTTGTATATAATTATATACATTTTGTGTACTAAACTCCATGTGAAATATAAAATGTTAAGCCAGTCTGTAAAAAATGGTTTGCTTTAAATATATTCATAGTAAAAACTAGTTTTAACTTGTCACTTTATGGACCTGTTCGAAAAAGAGTAAAGTCGTATTACTGTAAACAAACTAATTTTCGCGAGCGATTTATTTTCGCGACTTTCGCGAGCAGAAAAATAACGCGAATATAAATCGTCGCGAATATGTAAAACTTGAATTTTTCCTTATTTATCTACATCAAGTAAATTTAAGAATCGCGAAATTAAATCGCCGCGAAATGGGCTAGAAAGGGCTAAACGCGAAATAAAGTATCCGCGAAAATAAGTTATTTAACTGTATATCAAGCCTCTAAACATCGGGGCTATCGTGTGCAGGTGTGTGTAACGTTTCAACGCTGTTACATAGAGATACTATTATTATTGTCAATATCGTGTTTAAACTTATTTCATACGTAAAATCAAAAGTGTTTAGAAACATGTCATAGAATAAATAATTCATTTTGATGTATAATAAATAATTGTTTACGCCATTTATAGTTATAAAAGAAAGCGGATATAAAAAATGTATGTAAATGAAAATTAGTATTCAATTTGTATGTTCAGAAAGGAATAAAGGAATAAGCATTCTACTGAATTTACAGTTTATTAGTACGTTGTGCTGTTACACCACTGTCCCATGTTAGGGGAGGGTTAAGCGCTCACACACATTTTTCAACATGCCACGTTCTTTATGTGTCTGTCCCAAGTCATGAGCCTGTAGTTCAGTGGTTGTCGTTGGTTCATGTCTGTCATATTAGTTTTTCGGAAATTGTTTTGTTATGAATTAGGCATAGGATTTTCTCGTTTAGAGTGTTTCACAATTTTCATGTGGGTGTTTTTATAGACGGCTATACAGTATTGGTTTTTCTCATTGTTGACGGCCGTACGGTTGCCAATAATTTCTTACATCCACTTCATTTGAACTCTAGTGAATAGTTGTTTCATTGGCAATCATGCCACACCTCCTTATTTTTATATTGCAATAAAACATTCATTTCCATTGGCCTAGGGAGATATGAAGATTTGTTCACACTCGAAAAGCACATCTCCATATCTCCCTATGGCAAGCGAAATTAAATGTATAATGTCACATTGAGTATTATGATATCTTGAGCTGCTTAAATATTTACTCAAGAAATAAAAAAAAAAAACATCATACGACTTGATTTTATTGAATGTTATTTGTTTTAATCAAGATTTTTTTTTTATGTTATTGTCATGTCAAATGATTATGCCCTTCGAGCCACTTAATTGGAACACAATCTTCTTCTTCTTCTATAAAATTGAGAATGGAAATGGGGAATGTGTCAAAGAGACAACAACCCGACCATAGAACAGACAACAGCAGAAGGTCACCAACAGGTCTTCAATGCAGCGAGAAATTCCCGCACCTGGAGGCGTCCTTCAGCTGGCCCCTAAACAAATATATATACTAGTTCCGTTACACTGCACTGTTGTAGATCAAAACTTCGAAAATCTACTGACTCACTTTTATCAAATCGGCCATGTTTTGCAGAAAGAGATAAACATTTGGCGTCAAATTAAGATGAAAAATGCTTTCAAATTATTCATATATTTACAAGTTATAAAAGACTACTCTAAGCAACCTTTTAAATCATTAGTATGTTTTACAATTTGATAAACAAAAGAAAACGATTGAAAAATAAAAATTTGTTTACCAGAAAGATTTTTTTTTTTATTAAAAGGCTTTATGGCTGGTGGAAAGCAAAGTACAGCAGGGTCTGGAAGTGACTACCTTTGTATGCCAAGTATACCGTCTTACACAGGTGATGAATCGGGGTCCGCAGAATCAGACAGGGGATCACTTTACGGTATTCAGCTTGGGCTGGACACCTCTGAAGGATCTTCTCCTTTTGATACTAGTAAAGATGGTTATCTTGTTGACTGTGCAGTTTGCCAGATATTAGCAAATCCTGCGGTTTTCATGCAAGCAGCAACAAATACATGCCCAACTGGTTGGACTGTTGAATATACTGGTTACCTGATGTCTGAAATAGCTGCAGGAGTAACTGCGACTTCAAAGGGATATGCATGCATGGACAAAGACGCACCCCTAGCCACGGATAGTAGTGCCGATGATGCATTTGTGTATCCAGTAGAAGGAAAATGTGGAACACTTTTATGTCCCAATTATGAAGATAATGCCGAACTTACATGTGTAGTTTGTTCTAAGTAATTTGCATGCACTTTGAGGCGACTAAAGGCGTTTGATTTAGATCTAATGAGCTTTACACCACCATTTCCTATAATTTGTATATAGACCACGCTTCAAAGATACATACTGTTTTGATATCTGTTATACTCAATATGTATTTTTGCTTAACAAAAAACTATGGAATGTAGTATAAAATACTTACGGTAACAACATAAAGCTTACTTGATTAAAGTACAATATAAATTATGTTCAGCGTGTTTTCTTAAGGGTGTACATGAAAACGAGCCTCTCACTTTCTAACTTTTTTTGTTATTTGTTTTTAATTGTATTTGAACTCTATAGTCGGTTAAATTGTGCTAGATTTTGACCAAAAAATATGGCCGCTTTCCTGACAAATTGTTGCAACTGTCGTTATATTCGTTTGAAAATAATGTTTGATACAGTGCATCCCGAAACAATTGGAAAATTCCAATTTTACATAGTGAATAGGAGAGTTTAGAAGTAGTTGTTGTTGAAATTTGGATTGATTGATTGATTGTTGGTTGCTTAATGTCCAGTGGCAAACATTTCATGCATGTTCAGGACGAGAACAAATTAACAATAAATACAATAGGTAGATCCTGTAATAAAGGCCGTCGAGGATGAAGATCGGGGAAATTTGGACTGCCACGGGAAAATGAGGGTATATTGGATAGGGACAGAAATTTAACCTACGGACCGCTCAAAGGGTTGTTGCAAGGGTTCTTAACGTGCAGGGAGCATGGCACTCTCTTTACAGGAGGCATCGCATTTAACGTTCCCATTCTGACCGGACGTGGCTGCGTACTTGTACATCCCGCACAGCCAAACGAACGCCCAACTTTGGCCAGGGTTTTACTGCCGGTCGGAGGAATACCAATGGTGACCATATTTCTATTCCCCAGTCATCATTGGAGGCGTTTAAATTTGGAGGTTGAAAAATCGTCATGGTCCGGGTGAATTTTGGGGTAATGAAGAAAGCATGACAATCCCGCAGAAAAATGTCACTAATTTTCAGCGCTTCAACAACTAATATAAACAAAAAACTTCTTCTGATTTCTATGTAGATTATTTCACAATAAAAATATGCTTAACTGTAGTCTTAATAAAGAGGCTTTCCAGCAAAAAATATCCATCTGATATAACAACCAATCACAGAGACCCACCATTTTTCTTCTCTATGTCATGTTCCCTTCACCAAGATGGCTGCGTCCATAGATCTCCATTTGGTACAGTTAAATTGTCTGTTTTTAAGGAAAAGGAGGTGGGGTAGGGAGATATGCAGTTTTATACGATTTTTTTTACTCATTCAACATTCTTATTCTCATAAAGATTACAATGTTTGAAACGTGAAGGTACCTGACAGAAATGAAAGCCACTTATTAACAATAACACAGGTTTTAGCATCCATGTGTTGAATTATTTGTCACACTAATGACTCTCATTTAGGGGATGTCAATCTTCCAATGAGGTTTGAGTTACATCTTTAACTAGAGCATTATTTAAGAAATTCCAGTAAATGTTTGAACAAAGAAAAGGAATAAAAGCGCTTCTATGAAGTTTTTTTTTAAATTATTTTGATTGCTATTAAAAAATTGAAAACAACACGTTTAATAATTTCATGCGTCCGAAGCGCTTTTCTGATTAAGTTGACATCGAACCGCTTGTGTACATATATTCATGGAAGTGGTTGAATCCATTCTTGAAAGAAAGATTCAAACTGTATATAATTAATCGAAAGGTCTTTTGATTCTTCTATTATGCATGAAACTATTTAAGATCACGAGTTAAATCATGTTTCTGAGATAATTTTTTGTTGTTCGTTCTGCTTTGCACAACTTTTATTATTATATTCAGTAAGATGAACAGAGATGGGTCTGATAACTAAAAGACAAAAACTTTAACAAACAATTATGATTATGTTAATTAACCCGAATAATTCAGTCGTTATATTCCGCTGATTACTTCATAACCTCGCAAGTAGAGGAAATCGATTACGGAGAGGAATGAATTATTCGAGTTATATGGTAATTTGCTAATTGTTCAAAGTCGAAAAATTTGTCAGTACTCGTCTTTATGTTTATATATTGGGTTTTTTTTCCATGTACTGGTGTGCTGATGACAGGTCTTTGGTAACCAAAAAGGTATAGAATTACGGTAACCTGGACGTAACCATTCACAAAAAATGGGTTGTTTTGGTCGTGTGGGATTTATGTATCAATACGCAACTACGTCTGGTTGAAATTGGGACGTTGAATTCATGTTGTAAAAGTGGTATCCCCTTTGCAAGTTAAATAATCGCTGCAACACATCTTTTATTTTAGAAAGTGTATTTGGCCTCTTGAAATAAAATATCTAATAGATCCAAGGTACCCTCTTGTTTCCTGTTGCAGTTCTAAATTATGCCATTCATTCCAAACCCAATTTGCAGAACTGATTTTTTTAATTTAATTCGTTCTTGTCCTGAATATTCATGAAAAATTAGCAACTAAACGTTAAGCAATCGACAATCAATCAATCAATCCATCAGTTTTTAAGTATTCTCTTGTAGGTTTACACAATATATTAACAACTGACCATTTTCTAGATTTGGGCTGAAACGGACGCAGGACTTTTGCGTTTTGTTTACCTGTAACACGAAAGGACATTTGCGCTCTAAACACTATGGACATTTGCGCTTTTAAGTATGATACACCTAAACTAAATTGACCGGACATATGGGCTTTTTACCTATGATAGTGACTTTACCTGTAATATTAACCAGATTAAACAAGGGCATGGAAAGATGTTCACATATTCTATATAAACGACAAAATCGTAAAACGATTATTCTGGTAAACGATAGAGACAACGAATTTTTATGGATAACACATTTTGATTTTGACCTTAATTCCTCAAGCAGCTTAAGGATGTTCGCTACTCTGTATTAAAATAACAAGCTTTTTAAAAGACTGTTATAAATTGATAGTATATAAACAAAGGAATTAAAAAAGCAGAACAAAATTAAGGGTCCGTGTGCTTGTTTTCGAGATATAAGCCATTGAAAATTTGGCGGGATATAATTCTCTCTAGACTTTTCGTACATTAAACATTGGCACCCTTTTTCTTTTAAAAATTATGAAAAAATAACAAGGATTTTATAGGTTTTTCAAATATGGCTTTTTAAACTATGTGTAATAAAATTATGAAAAGAAAACAGGGGTTAGTGGGCAAGTTTTTTAAAGCATTCAAATGGATAAAATCAGAGGATTCCGAAAATCTGACAAAAATTATAAAACATGACAAGCGAACATCCTTAATACAATTCGTGGATTTAAAATTGGAAACTATATTATATTCCGCGGAACTGTACCATCATGGCTTATCTACATTTACTTTTTGTGTATATTAATCGTATCACTAGCGTATTTCGGACAAAATATCCTTTAAATACTTTACTTCATACACGTAATGCAAAATCTGTATTTCGTTTAGATATAATATTTCAGCATACTTTGTTTCTTTCTTTCCCACCAACCTTCTTACAGGATTCTACAAATTTTTACTTCTAGCCACAATACCTGTGACGTCTTCTCCTGGATCACTCGTGCGACTCCATATTACAAGTTTGGCATTTTCTATGAAACTAATGACCACTTATTGGTTTATAGACATATATGAAAACTTGCTGATAGTGGAGTGCCTGCTTGGTTGAGACTTGAGTATTGTACATGTGGAATGGTACAGTTCCTTGAACAGCACCATCTTGTGCCTGTACGCGCTATGCAAATAAACTGATAGTTCAGCACATAAAAACTAAATATATACCATTAATACAATTTAATTTTATTTAAATTGACTGATCAAGTGGTAACATCAGAATGCTTTAGAATAATACATACAGAATTTTATACTCTGCTCTGTATAAAAAAATTTAAATTTTGAAATTGGCCTAAATTTACAAATGATTTTTTTCCATCTAAACTCTTTTCTTTTTTTATCCAAGAACGTTAAAAAGACATTGATATTAAATTTTAATTGTAATATTCATATCATGATTCATGAGAACAACTATAAGTCTATAAGTCACCATGCAGCCTTCAACATATGTTTTATATATATATATATATATATATATATTTCTCATACACATGAGAAAAATATCCCCTTGTGGATTATCATAATAAATTCATAATAAGAAACAATAAATAGCCTCTAAAAATCTATTACCAACTAGTATTCAACTGATTGAAAGTCATTGTGAATTTCCTTATATACCTATCTATATATAACGTGAAGATTTGTATCGATTTCAGATAAAATACATTACTATATGTAATGTTTAAAAAGCAGTGTTCATTTAAATTGAATGGAATCGATCACATCTACCTACATACCAAACATGTCGTGTTTACATTTACTGTGAATATATAGGGATGCTATTGCTGATATTCTAAATGTCATGTAAAGCAAACAAATAGTACTTTTATTTCGGTACTATATCGTGGTCAAGTACTTCAGTTCAAGCACGAAATACTCGACACATACGCATATTATTTAAATAATAGTTTAAAACAGTTATATTACCAAACTCTGAAACAGTGGTAACGTCCTCCTTGCAACGCTACGTTGACTTTATAGTTGATAGTTTAGCAAAGCAACGTCACCGCTGTTTCTGAGTTTGTTATTTTACGACAATCAGAATATACATGACGTCTTTTATCTTGCTTCATTTCTGCTCAATATAAAAAAAGGAACATGTGATATGATTGACAATGAGACAACTCTGCACCAGATAGCAAATGACTAGGTATAGAAGTTCAACAAGGTGACTGTAAGGCCTTCAATAATGAGAAAAACACATACCGCATAGCATTGATCTATCAAAAGCCCCGAAATGACAATCACAGAATTTTAAATGAATTGGTTCTTGGTTCTACGTTTATGGAAGCGTTAACTTCATCCAGAAAAAGCTTCGGACGCATGACATTGATCGAGTGTTCTTTTTTAATTTTTTTTAGACATTGTTGAAATGTAATCTAGAATAGATTTAGAATATGCATGGTTGAGTGGTTTCAGCATTTTGCATGGATGAGTTGTAGTTTCAGCAATTTGCATGGTTGAGTGGTTTCAGCAGTTGACATACTTTTATTTTGCAATTTGTATAGCAACTTAATACACAATTTTCGTACTTCATTACTATTTGCTGACGTACAATATGGTGCTGGTACAAAGGAAGCATGCATACA